GGCTGGGAACAATCGTCAGCAGAAATAAATTCGTTCTCAGCCGCGAAGAAATTTGTTACACTAACTGGTACAGTACAGTGATTCAGTCTGGAAGCAGAGAGTTCAAGCATGAGTTTATTTGTGATTCTGGAGCAGAGGTTTCATGCAGTTATTCCAACGGCGTTAGCACAAGAACATTACATGAAAATTCAACCAACTACACGTCACGTAGATATGGCTAATGGGACACACGCAGAATGCAGAGGTGTGGTTCAAACATCAGTTATGGTAGGGACAAATAGTTGTATATTGAGTTTTTTTTGTGGTAAGTGGTGTTCAAAACGGGATTCTGGGCTTGGACACTTTGGGGAAATTGGGTGTATCGTTGAACACAAGAAAAAAATTGGCAACAATAGATGGGGCCCAACCCGTGTTACAACCGGAAGTAGATACCCCTCAGGAAATGCTAAAGTGTTGCCACATACGAGTTGCGGAAAGTCGTGATATTAAGCCATTTGAAGAAATATTCATTTGGGGTAAATTGGAAGATAAGAATGAAAAATTTACTAGAGATTCGTATATCGAAGGTACGGAACATTTTCAGCAGAGAACTGGGCTTCTTACAGCCCCGATAAAGATTTCGGCAGAAATGATGAACGATGAAAATAAAATCCCCATATGCGTACTGAATACTACTGATAAATCAATCAGAGTTTATAGAGAACAAACTGCGGCCACAATTCAGGAACTGCCAAGTACCCACAACATAGCACATATGTCAGAGTCAAATATGGGGGGAAATAATCCATCATCACAATATGACCCGGTCCCAGAAGTATCAGTTGGTGAACAATTGACAACACAACAAAGAGAAAACCTAGAAGTTCTAATTCGAAAAAATACACAAGTTTTCGACTACCCAGGAAACAGTGGGTTCACCACAACAATAGAGCACACAATACCCACAGCCGTATCTGATCCAATTGTGTGCCACCCCAGACGACACAACCTGGGGTTAACACAAAAAATTAATGAAGCAGTAGGAAACCATGTAAAGTCGGGACATTTGACACCCTCTAAATCCCCTTGGGCATTTCCAATTGTACCTGTATTGAAACCAGATAAAACAGTTCGATTGTGTGTAGACACCAGACCACTTAACAAAATTACCCAGAATGACCCATATCCAACTGGAAATTTGCAAGAGGTTCTAGACAATCTATCAGGTGCTAACTATTTTAGTGTTATTGACTTGGCTCATGGTTATTTGCAGGTCCCACTGACCAAGGAAGATCGACCAAAGACAGCGTTTCGATCACCTACTGGGTTTTGGGAATGGACAAGAATGCCATATGGTTTAAAAGGAAGTCCGGCAATTATTTCTCGGTTGATGCAGAACGTTCTAGGACACCTTCCACCACATCGGTTGGCATTGTACATGGATGATATCTGTATTATTAGCAAAACGTTTGAGGAACATTTGATAAATCTCCAGGGAGTATTTGATGCATTGCGACAGCATGGATTAAGAGTTAAAGCTAAGAAATGTGCTTTCGCAATGAAAGAAGTGAAATTTCTTGGACACAAAGTTTGCAACAAGGGTGTGCAGCCAGAGGAACATAAAGTAAAGGCAATTCGTGCATGGGTTGCACCAACTTGTCTTAAAGAGGTGCAAATGTCTTTGGGTGCAGTTGGGTGGTATTGGAAGTTTATCAAGGATTTTGGTACAATTGCTCGACCATTAACATGGCTTTTGGAGAAAGATGTGTCACATTCACTTGGGGTAAGGAGCAAGATGATGCATTCAATACACTAAGACATGAGTTGGTTAAAGCTCCAGTATTAGCCCATCCTGACCCCACTCGACCCTTTGTTGTTACCACGGATGCAAGCAAAGTGGGTCAGGGTGGTGAACTATCACAAGAAGATGCACAAGGACAATTACATCCGGTTGCATATTTCAGTCGTGCATTGACCAGACGAGAACGTTCATATCCAACTTATGACAGAGAAATGATGGCTATGCGAGACACGCTTAAGCATTTTCGGTATTATCTGTTAGGAGCACAAGTAGTGACGAGGACCGACCACAAACCTCTTCTAAAGATCCTGGAACAGAAAGATCCATTTGGACGAAGAGCGACATTGATGAGAGATATAGCTGAATTCGAACCACGCATAGAGTTTATTCGAGGGCAGGATAATCACATGGCAGATGCTCTTAGTCGGATCGGATGGAATGCCAAGTGGGAAGAGAGAGATGAGGATACTAGTAAAGTGGCTACTATTGGTGGCTCTCAAGACGAGATTGGTCCATGCAAGGATGTAAGGTTGGACATAAATGACTTCCAATTGCAGCAAGAACGTGACCCAACCCTTAAGCCACATATTTCCACTCACCGAAACCAACATGGTTTATTCACACGAGATCATGATCATAAGAAGCAAGTGTTGCTTCCAGCATCGCTTGTTCCCACCATATTATCATTAGCTCATGACGAAACAGGGCACCAAGGAGCAGATAAAATGCTTGAAGAATTGAACCTCATTATTGGTGGCCAAAGATGAAAGCAGAAGTAGAGAACTATGCAAAAACGTGCCAACGCTGTGCTGCTACTCTTGCACAGGGACATAGAAAAGCACCCATTCATCAACGACCAAAAGAAGAGAAACCATTTGCGTTGATAGAAAAAGATCTCAAGGGTCCATTACCGAGAACGAAAGAGGGATTTGACAATATTGTTGTGATAACAGATCCATGTACAAAATATGCAGAGATGCATCCAATTCGAAGACAAACCAGCCAAGTTGTTTGTAAGACACTCATGGGTTGGATATCAAGATATGGTTTACCAAACAAAGTGCACTCTGACAATGGACCTTGTTTCATAAGCGAAACATTTGAACAGTTTTGCATAACCCAAGGCATTGAGCATACTTTCAGTCCACCCTATAGGCCACAAGGAAACGCGGGTGTAGAACGGATTAATCGTACGATGGGGGAAGCACTCCTAGATAAACATCCCAACCGATGGTCTCAACACCTACCTGACGTACAACTAGCATACAACACAGCAGTTCATACAAGTACAGGAGGTTCGCCGTACGAACTAGTTTTCAAGGAGCACCCGCGATCAAAATTCGAAATTATAACAGAGAAGATATCACCAGCAACGGTTAGAGAGAAAACGGAACGACTGCGCGAGACTGTTAGTGAGGTATTCCAAAAAGCACAAGAGTCCGATGCCAAGTTAGCGGAAAAACGCAGAGAACGGTACAACAGTAAAACTTCGTTTAAATCGTTGGGGGTGGGTCAACAAGTTTGGAAAAGAAATTTACGAGCAAAAACATTTGCAGATCGGTGGACGGGACCCTATGTCGTGGTAAAGCCCACGTCGGTAACCAAAACATCTTATGTAGTGAGAAGGAATAATGGAACTAAAGAAGAAATTGTCCATTACAATTACCTTAAACCTTATCAAATTCGACCTGTCAAGAAACCAAAGTCAAGGAATCCACCAAAGAAGAATGGGGTCGGACACCCAGCACTGGGTACCAGTGAGGACAGTGAATCTGACAGCAGAGAAGAGGAAATGCAACCAGAGAGAAGATATCCAGAAAGAATTCGAAGACCTCCAGAAAAATACACATAATACTTTTAAACGGGGGAGTGGTGTGATATATTGACATTTATAGTTACATTGAAATAGATACTGGTAAATAGCAAGCCTATTTGCAGGCTATTAGGCATGGACCTTCGGGCTTAATAATTAACTTGAAGACTAAGACTATTATCGTACATGTGTTCGGAGTAATACAATATATAAATTTACAGTACCTTAAGGTAGGCCAAGGTACCCTAAGGTAATCCAAGGTATCCTAAAGTAGGTCAAGGTAACCTAAGGTAGCCCAAGGTACCCTAAGGTACTCCTAGGTACCCTAAGGTAGGCCATGGTACCCTAAGGTAGGCCAAGGTACCCTGAGGTAGGCCAACGTACCCTAAGGTACTCCAAGGTACCCTAAGGTAGGCCAATGTACCCTAAGGTACTCCAAGGTACCCTAAGGTAGGCCAATGTACCCTAAGGTAGACCAAGGTACCCTAAGGTAGGCCAAGGTACCCTAAGGTACTCCAAGGTACCCTAATGTAGGCCAAGATACCCTAAGGTACTCCAAGGTACCCTTAGGTAGGTCAATGTACCCTAAGGTAGGCCAACGTACCCTAAAGTACTCCCTAAGGTAGGCCAAGGTACCCTGAGGTAGGCCAAGGTACCCTAGGGTAGGCCAAGGTACCCTAAGGTAGGCCAAGGTACCCTAAGGTAGGCCAAGGTGCCCTAAGGTAGGTCAAGGTACCCTAAGGTAGGCCAAGGTACCCTAAGGTACTCCAAGGTACCCTAAGGTAGGCCAAGGTATCGTAAAGTAGGCCAATGTACCCTAAGATACTCCCTGGTACCCTAAGGTAGGCCAAGGTACCGTAAGGAACTCCAAGGTACCCTAAGGTAGGCAAAGGTACCCTAAGGTAGGCCAATGTACGCTAAGGTAGGCCAAGGTACCCTAAGGTACTCCAAGGTACCCTAAGCTACTCCAAGGTAGCCTAAGGTGGGTCAAGCTACCCTAAGGTAGCTTAATGTACCCTAGTACAGTCTAAGGTACCCTAATCTCTTTGTATTTTGATATACTATAATGAGGGCTACATTATTGTCGTTCCAATTGAAGTGTTGCTCAAATATTGATTCAACACATTACCTCGGGCTGACCAATTCATTTCATCAAGTTCCTCGAGATATTCATACACTTCCTGTGAAAGAGCCAATTCCAAGTATTTGATCATTTCTGGTCACTTCCTTTCTATTTATGATGGGTTAGTTGCACAAACAACAAAGGTGATTGGTGCATTCAAGCTATTCAACAGGAAGTTTACAATTATACTAGGAAGTGTATGAATATCTCGAGGAACTTGATGAAATGAATTGGTCAGCCCGAGGTAATGTATTGAATCATAAAGCCTTGATTCCACGAGCGCTTTTTGTCGGCGAAATGCGAAATATTTCGCCTGTTTCTTTTGAATTGTGAGCAATCAAGTAGAAATAATTTATTCGAGTGGTCGCAATTCAAAAGAAACAGGCGAAATATTTCGCATTTCGCCGACAAAAAGCGCTCGTGGAATCAGGGCTTTAGAGACCTTAAGATTGACGTTTACGGCAAACGTCAAACCGCTAGCGAAGTTTTTTATTTTACAACTTTATTATAATAGCTTTTACACCAGTTTTGAAATATGTTAATCTTATTAAACTTGTGCTCTTTAGCAATGATTTAAGAAAGCAAATTAATCACTAGTCATGCCATTCACCAAAGCAGTAAATTAAGATTTGGCGTTTGAAGTTGGCGTTTGGCGTATAAATTTCATGCTTGTAGTCTTGTACGTCAAACGTCAACTTCAAACGCCAAATCTTAATTTACTGCTTTGGTGAATGGCATGACTAGTGGTTAATTTGCTTTCTTAAATCATTGCTAAAGAGCACAAGTTTAATCAGTTTAACATATTTCAAAACTGGTGTAAAAGCTATAATAATAGAGTTGTAAATTCAAAAACTTCGCTAGCGGTTTGACGTTTGCCGTAAACGTCAATCTTAAGGTCTCTAATATTTGAGCAACACTTCAATTGGAACGACAGTAAGTCTACCGCGCTGCGTGTTCTCGTAATACTTTGTTGTACAGATTTGTATCAAGATGGAAAAAGATGCCAAAGCCTACGATGAAATGAGCGAACCACAAGTTGAAACTGGCAGTCAATTTATCCGCGAGTTGAGTTTATCCCAGGAAGACAGAATACTTGATATGGGCTGTGGAACAGGCAATCTTACTAAATATATCGCTGATATCGTTGGCGCCAACGGCGAGGTTGTCGGAGTCGATCCCGATGTTGCGAGAATCGAAATTGCTAAAGAAAAATATAAAGCAGTCAGTAACCTTCATTTCTATGTTGGTAGCAGTGTGACGCGATTTCCACACGATTCTGTGTCGTATTATGATCTTCACATCGGTATATTATGCCTCATGACGAGAAAAAGATTTACCTACAGAAAGCACACCGATGTCTAAAACCTGGGGGAATGTTGGCCATCACATGCATCGAAAAGATGCTAGACGTTGAAAAAGATGCAGATAGGCATCCCTTTGGATTGCATCCGCTAACCCAGGAAGGTTATCGTAAACTATTCCAAGATCTTGGCTTGTTCACCAATGTTATTGTCGAGAAAAATTATCACAAATTAAGATCAAAATCATTTGAGGAGTTTAAGCAATGGTACAAAGCTTCAGCACATCAAGACTTTGACAACTTGGATCCGTCTGCCGTTCGTGAATATGTCATCAAAGAAGATGATGGCAGTGTAACTTGTACGATACCGCGTATTCGCATTACAGCAAGAAAATAATCAACCACGCGAGGAAAACTTGGTCAACGTTTTACTTATAAACACAGACATGCAGGGGTTGAAATGACTGGACGCCAAGTCGCCAAAGCGACCATGATAAAATAATTGTGAAGCCTTAAAATATCTCAGTATTAATATCTTCAGAAGCCTTAAAATATCACATGCTGCATTTGCATATAATTTTCCAACAACTGCTACAAATAGACATACTGTACTTCATATATTAAATTTTGTGACCAGACATTAAAACGTTCTTAAAATTTCAATCCCTGAACACACACATAAAAATATAAACACATACAATGTCAATGTGTTTATATGCGAGAAGGAGGGATTTATGTCAGACAAGACGCTCTGTTGAGCGTTTAGTCGCTGGGGTATTAAAATAAGGCACGTGTTGATTAGAATAACTTACCATATATCATCAACCTCGTACCCAGGGCTTCTGCGCTCGTTGCTCTCTCTTCATTCTCGTACCCAGAACCGTTCTTACGC